TCATTTATGACTTGTGTGCAAAATTTGAAGTCATTCCGGATTGATTTGATATGTTTCGGCGCAAAAAGTAGAAGTTGGAAGATTTGAAAACTCATAATTCAATTCAATGCGCGATTCGTAATTTCGGTGTTGTTTGACGTGGTTTGAAGCCTTGATTAAGTTCGTATTATATTTTGGGATATGTTGGTATAATTGGTTAAGGTCCCGAGGGCCTCGGGTGGATTTCGGAAGGTTAACGGAATGGAAATCGGACAAAAAGGATTGCTGGAATTTTCTGTTGCAGAAGCTGTCTTGGACAACAACTGTTCGTATAGCCTATTTCGGAAACTTATATCTCAAAATACATAAGGAATATGTAAATTTACAAAACATTAAAGTTGTAGCTCTTGAATCCTAGTTTCCAGAAAGCTAAATTATTTTTTATTCCGACATTTATACATAAAGTTATGATTGATTGAATAAGGGTTGGTAAAGCTGTTTTGAAATTTTCTAGAAAAGTTTAATGCGAGGGGGCTACTTTGGAAGCTTATACCTCGAAATACATAAGGGATCTGAAAATTTGCAAAACATAAAAGTTGTAGCTCTTGCATTCTAGTTTCCATAAAGTTAAACCATTCAACATTCCAACATTTGTACAGAATGTTATGATAGATTTAGTAAAGGCTGGGACTACCTTTTGTTTTGGCTGGAAATAAGTGCAAGTCGCATTTAATAGATGCAACTTGCCTGGAAAACAACTTATATTCGGGAATTAGCCATTTTTATTAATTTGTGACGATCGTAGAGCTCGGGAAAAGCGATTTTCAACAGATTTTTCAAGGAAAACATTTGGGGTAAGTGTTCTATATCCGAAAGTAATTATATTTCATAAATACATGGTTATATTCATCGTTTAATTCATATTTAAATGGAAGAAATTGGAATTTTTGCAAAACTTTTCAAAAATGAAAAATTAAGATTTGGAGGTCGAGTTGTTTTTGGAATTTGATAATTTTGGTATGGTTGAACTCGTATCGGAATGGGTTGTCGGATTTTTGAGTTTCGCCGGATTCCGAGGCGCAGGCCCCACGGGTGAATTTTGAGTGCAATTTCGGATTTTTAATGGAAAATGTAGAATTCCATATGGAATTAATTCCTATAATTTTTATTGATTGAATCGAATTATTATGGCTAGATTCGAGGCATTTGGAGGTCAATTTGAGAGGAAAAGGCATTGCGGAGTAGGATTTTGCTCGAATTGAGGTAAGTAACGGTTATAAGTCTGGTCTTGAGGGTATGAAACCCCGGACATTATGTCGTATGACTATTTTGGAGGTGACGCACATGCTAGGTGACGGGCGTGTGGGCGTGCACCGTAGGGATTGTGACTTGGTCCGTCCCGCGAGACTGTGGAATTAATTGGCCTTCTGTTTAATACATGTTCCCTCTGTTTTCATAGAAATTGACTATACTTCATGTTAGAAATCATGTTTAGGCCTTATGTGATCACTGTTGAGACCTGTGAGGTCGTGTACTTGCTGAATTAGTTGCTAATTGTTGTTTTGTACTCAGTCATAGCTTTTCTTGCTTATTATGCTTTTGTCTCTTGCTGTTCATTGTTGATGCATGACATTACCTCTGTTTGGGCTGTTTATATGATTTTTGAGAGCCCGAGAGACTGGAGAGATTTATGACCGAGTGAGGCCGAGGGCCTGATCTGTGAGGATATTTATGGGATCGGGCTGCATGTCGCAACATGTTGTTACTGATTTAGGATTGAGTGAGGCCGAGGGCCTTAGTGATTTATGCCACGAGGTGGCTTGTTATAGCGCTTGGGTTGAAGGAGCACCTCCGGAGTCTGTACACACCCCCAGTGAGCGTAGGTACCTACTGAGTGCGAGTTCCGAGTGCTGAGTGACTGAGAGGAATGAGTGAATGTGAGGAATGAGTGATTGTGAGGTTGGAGTGAATGGGAGGACAAAGTGACTGTTATTCTAAGAAAATACATTTACTTCATTACTGTTGCATCGCAGATGTCATATCATTGCTTTGAAAATTATTGAAAGATATTACTTACTGCTCAGTCAAATTTGATATCTGGTTTATTGAGTACGTACTGATGTGACTTAAACTGTTAAATTGGAAGTATGACTACTCTTATTTGAAAGTTATTGAGATAATTGTATTTGCATAGCTCGTCACTACTTCTCAGTTCATTATTTATTTCTATTACTTACTGAGTTCGTGTACTCACGTTACCCCCTGTACCTCGTGTACAGATCTAGACACTTCTGGTCACGGCGATTGCTGATTGAGGAGTCAGACTCAGGAGACTATTGAGGTAGTTGCATGGTGTTCGCTGACCTTGATTCTTCTTTCCTTTCATATTCAACTGTTCTATATTTTCAGACAGTGTTTTATCAGTCGGATGTTGTTATCATTTAGATGCTCATGAACTCAGTGACACCGGGTTTTGGGGATGGATTGTTTAGTATTTTGGAGTTATATTCTGTTCTAAAAGGTTTTATTTAATATTAACTGCTTCCGCCTTTATTTAAAAGTTCTACTGTGTTGAGATGTTGAGTTGAGGCTTGCCTTGTACCACGATAGGCGTCAACACGACAGGTGAGATTTTGGGTCGTGACAGTATGTTTGAACATATTACTGAATGGAGTCGATTTTTCAGAGTGTATGAACTATCATTACTAGAAAATTGCGAAAACCTTCGAGGAATGACTATCGAAATCGGTCGGAAAACTTTAAAAACCCGATTGATTTTCGACTAACTTTAATCCGTTGAAATAAGGCTTGTCGATAGTAAATAATGACCGAAGTCGGCCGCAATTTCCGACCAATTTCATTCGGTCAATTAAATTTCATAAACGACAAAAAAAAAAAAAAGAAAATATCTATCGAAAAGATCGACCGAAGTCAGTCGGTATTTTTAATTATCTAATTAAAAAATACATCGTCTGAGAATCGAACTAGCGTCAGTATTGTGGCAGAATACTATTCTACCATTAGACCGTTGGTACATTTTTGTTTAAGACTTTCTTTTATATTATTTGTATTCTTTAATTGCATTTTCGCGCGAATAACCGACCGATTTCGGTCGATTTTATTAAAAATATAAAATTACCGACCTAAATCGATTGTTTTTTTAAAATGACCGACCGAAATAATCGACCCATTTCGGTCGATTTTCTGAATATTAATTTTAATTTATTTTACATGAAAAAATGATCAAAGTTGGTCGGTTTCTTTTAAAAAATAAATTTCGCGGGACACAAAAATAGTTTCCCTCTTTCTTGCTCCAAAATAACCGACCGATGTTGAACGATTTTGTAAAAACAAATTGAAAATAAAATATTTTAAAAAGCCGACCGACTTCGGTTGGTTTTTTGGCCGGTTTTTTACCGCGGTCGATTTTGGCTAAATTTCTAGTAGTGATATATGAACTCAAATTTAAAAAGAGAAACTAAAGGATGGAAATTCGGATAGTATTTGTGTTTTTCAGTTTCTCGCTACTAAGAGATAGTGAAATTGACACTTTCTCTGTAATTTCCTCTGTCTTTTCAGTAATGCATGTGTCCCGATCCTATTTTATAATCAAATTTTAGACATTATCAATTTTTATATAGTTCTCTTGGATTCTCAACATACATGTCTGTTACTTCTGGCTGATCTTTTTTGCGATCCGTCACCACGATCAGAGGCGGATGTAATATACTAACTGCGGGTTCAACTAAACCCATAACTTTTGACGCGGAGTAAAACTTATATGTAAAAATTCATTAAAATTGCAAAAATAATGGATATGAATCCATAATTTTAAAAATATAATGGGTTAAATGTTAAAAACATTAAAATTGAACCCATAAGATTTGAATCCTGAATCCGCCTCTGACCACGATCGTAGCACTGATCACCGTGATCACGACCCTCCACCGCGATCATGACATAAGGCACCGCGATCGGGGCAATCTATTTCGGCCAATTGGTCATTTTAGCTCACCTTTGGAACATTTTAGGCATTGTATAATTACGGTTGAACCTTATAGTATAAATAGTAAACACCTAATAATCTCATAATATTTAGTTGTTTATTGATGAAGATAAGAGAGTATAATGTAAGGATGGATGAATCTTTTGTTTGCCAATGAATTCCTTAAGTTATTAGAATCTATACTAGTGTGAGTTTTCTATAGACTAGGGTCTCTCGATTTCAATGGAATTTAGTATTTGCTCCTTATAGCTATTATATTATGTAAAAATGAATTATACGATAATCGGTGACTAACATATTCTAATGTTAGTTCGAGATCACTAGTTATTACTTCCTCCGATCCACTTTAATTAATTTTTTGAATATATTTACACATATTAAAGAATTTACTTTCTTACATAATTAACAATAAAATTAATTATATTAGCCTTAATTTATTCATTGAAAATATATAAAATACTACTAAGCTCTTAACTGCAAAGGCATTTTTGAAAAAAATAAGTTAATTAATTCCTTTTTGATATATGAAAAAATCAAACATTGTGAACTCAAAAAAATTAATTAAAATGGGCCAAAGGGAGTAATGTATGTGGTCAATTAATATAATGTCGTTAAACGTACTTAATTTTTTTACCATAGGTTTGTAATAATGGTCATCCAACCAAGCAGCTAATTTCAACCCGGCTCCATTGATTTAGGTAATTCAATTGAATCGATTGTTTGGTCAAGTCTTTTTAAGTTCAAAAATATTTTTTTTTCAAAGTTAAGGTATTTGGTCAAATTTTAAAAATTAATATTTTTAAGTAGTTGTAATTTTTGAGAAGCACTCAAAACTACTTTTTTTTTGAGAAAAATATATTTAAAAATACTTTTTAAAAGCTTGATAATCAGCCGAAAAGTAATTTTTAAATTATTAATTAAAAAAAACGTAAACTCACTAAAAAGTGTATTTTTTTTTAAATATATACTACTCCGTAATTTAGAAGCTTGGCGACACACGATCAATAATAAAATACATTAACCCTAAAAGCAATCTTTGACATTCTTCCTCTGTCAGAATTATTATTATTATTAGGAAGAAACAAAAGGTTCCAATGGCTAGCAGAAAGCTCGTACGAGATTGGTTTGTCTATAAAAATCCTTCTTTCCGGCGAATATTAGTTCCACCACAACAGGTTCGTTCTTGTAGGGTTGTTGAATTTGTGCTTTAATGGCTTTTTGCTTATTCTTTTTATATTTTTGTGTTTGCATGCAAAGGTGGTGAGGTTGATTGGAGCAGAGAGGTATGTGGGTATTCGTCCTTATACTGTATTCAATGAGTTCTCCAAACAGGTTAGAGGCGAAGTCTACAGGTATTTTTGCTATTTAGTGGTTGCTTTTCTTGCAAATTGGTTCTGATAATTACTTCTTTTTGTCCCTTTTTGGATTATCAATGTCGGGTTTGCTGTGTTTAGCTCAAAGCAGTGTTGTCAAAGGCGCGCTTAAGCCCTGAAGCGAGGCTCAAAACACGTTGAGCGCTTGCTTTAGTGTCGCATCAAAGCTCTAACACATACTTTCTTTGCCAACGGGTGTAATCCTTTACACCCTGAAAAGGCGACCTTAAACAATTGATATTTCACTTTATCAAGAACTTTTTTTCAATTTCTTTATTCATATATTTGTTATTCATGCTTATAATGATTAGTCTTGGACTACTATGCATATTTTTACTTTTTCACCGGTTGAGCCTTTTTTTTTTTTTATCAAAACCCATACTTTATTTACGCTTTGCGCTTAAAGCTCCAACGGACCTTAGAGCTTTTTTGCGCTTTTCGCCTTTCGCCTTTGATAACACTGGCTCACAGTCCGTAAATTGAGGAGTTGCTATTTTTTTATTTTGTTGCATAAATCAGGTACTATCACTTTATTAATTAACCTGTTTGGCCAAGTCCCCAAAATTTGCTTATCATGAAAAGTGTTCTGGTGAAAGTATGTTGGAGCTGTTGTTTGAGAAGTGCTTTTGTTAGTATTAATAAAAACAGTTGGCCAGAAAAAGTGCTTTTAAGCGTCAAATTACAAGAAAAAGGACATGTGCATGTCACTTTGGAATAAGTAATAGTGTTTAGAACGAACCTGTATTAGTTAGTCTTTTAATTAAAAATCCTCATAATAATGAATCATTAACATGTTATCGGTTATCCACATAGAAAATCGATTTACAAAACTTTCAGAATAGTAGCAGTAAGCGAAGAAATGGGATCGATTACTAGTTCCCACTCTAGAATGCCTTCAGAGATGAGAATTACCTTGAAAGGATTAAAGAGATAGAGTAATAAGATCTTTGGCAATGCAGTATCAGCATACTTGATTCGGAGCATTTCATTTTTTTCTTCTGTGGTGGGTGGTATGGGGACATGTTGGTATTTTTTGAAGTGTGACAAGGGAGAGAATTCAACTGCTTCTTAATCTTACTAGTAATTATTAAGCTGTTTGTGTCTCCCTCCCTATCTATACGCTCTGGGGCTTTGTTAGTGCGATTGGGTTTATTCATCAATGCTTATGGCTACAGAAATCAAGAATTCCAACGGTCTGTCAAGCAACTGAAGGAGAAAGCTGAGGAGTTGAAAGGGGTGAAAGAAGATTTTAAAACAAGGTGCCTTATAGATATCCTGTTAATATAATTTTAAGGTGGTTCTAACCTTTTCCTTAAGGGGCCGAGACATACTGTTGTATGTCAAGGCTGGTAGAACTTCCAATGGGGACCCTGAAATGGTGAACCGCCTAATGCAGAATGAAGCAGACAACGGGGACGCTTTACAAACATGTGGATGGTGTTTGGATGGAGGCTGAAGCTACGACAAAAAAGGTATTAGTGCAACCTCCGTCAGTTGATCTGGTGCTTGTCTAATATTTGTTTGCTGAATGAGATTATCATGCTGTGCAATGTTTCTTCTAGGTATTAAGATGGTATGCCTTGCTAACTTTTGTCAATTGTTTTTCTAGTCTTTGCCCTTTTTTTTGTTGATTAAATAAAAAAAAGAGTAAGGGGGGATCCAGAGGATGCAATTAGTGCAAAATGAAGGGAGCTAAGGAAGTCCAGGCATGACATATTTACAAACTTTAAATTGCAGCAACAAGTCAGATTAAGTAGACATTCAGCTTTATGGAGTGTAAACAATTTCAGCACCTTTTCCTGAGCCGAGGGTCTATTGGAAACAGTCTTTCTACTTGTTAGGTAAGGGTAAGGTCTGCGAGCAGACTACCCTCCCCAGACCCCACTTGGTGGGAACACATTAGGTTTGTTGTTGTTGTAAACACTTTCAGCACCTCATATAACACTGCTTTGCTGTAGAGTTTTATCCTGTTAGTATTCCGTTTAATTGTATCTTCGTCTTGTGTGGTTTCTAAGTTCTTTTCATAGAATTAAAATAAAGATATTGATCTTTCAATCTTCAAATCCTAAAAGTTCCTTCAAACTTGTCAAGTTCAAGTCACTGCCTTTTGAGTATTGCAATTTGTCTTTTGAGCCGAGGGTTTCCCGGAAACAGCCTCTCTATCCCTCTGGGATAGGGGTAAGGTCTGCGTACACTCTACCCTCTCTACCACTTTGGGATAGGGGTAAGGTCTGCATACACTTTACCCTCCCCAGATCCCATTAGTGGGATTTTACTGGGTTGTTGTTGTTGTTGTTTATGCCAATGTGGAGGAAAAAATATCTGTTACGAAAGAGGAGGTTGGTGAACTCTTTAAGGAGGTGACAATTGACTCTGATTCCTATTTAGGTCAAAGATAGCTTTGGAGTGGGGAAGCAAGAAGCTCGGGGATCAAGCGGTCACTATGACACTTCTAGTCCAAATATCAAAGAGAGTAGTGAGTCTGCATCTGCAAAAAATCAACATGAGCAACAATCTGGTTCCAGTGATAGTGCGGAAACAGTTTTTAGCAAGGTTAAATCTGCTGCTTCATCGAAAGTCTCGCCGTTCTTTCAGAAAATAAAAGAAGCAAAACCTGTTGGATTTACAAAGAAGGGCTACGACATAATATTGGACGAGTTGAAAGGTACTCCTCGTGGTACGAGAAAGCACCTCGAGTATTCTGCGCCCATACAAGAAACTTCATCAAACTTTGAGAGGAGTACAAGAACTGATGTTGTTGTCTTACCATCAAAGCAATCAAAATGGAATAAGGAATGGGAAACCTTCAAGGAAAAAGTAATCTCTTGCTTATTATACCCTGCTGAGATGCGTGTGAAGTTGTGTTTTCTCATATTACCAATTTGCACTGAATTTTTATTATTCTCAGATGCAGGGTCACCCTCTTTCCAAGAGCTTCACTCTGATTCTCAACGTAATTTTATCTTTTGTGCTAGTAATAGATTTTCATTTTCAACTTTTTCCCTCTGTTATGTTTAATCCAATGAGAATATACATGGCTTGATCTGGAATGCGTTTAATGTGAAGTAATATTAAATACTTTATGTTCTGGATGACAGATTATAGAAGATATTCGTGAGAGAATTGAAACGAGTGATAATCCCGTTGTTCACAAACTCCAAGAGTATGGCTACACATTACCATTTTAAAAGCTGTGTTATGGATAGAGTTCAATTTAAGATCAACTTATAATTTCCATCTTAATGTTGCAGTATGTGTGCTAATATGGATGGAGAATCTTCAGCTGCAATGTCAATTAAAGAGATTTACAGCAGAGATCCGTATGATTTCTAGCTTCTTTTGCTTGACTTTTCATTTTCACCTTTGGCTTGTTTTTCTATATATTTGAAATATGTTTTTGTGAAGGTCATTCTCTTTGCCTGTATTTGTTGATGAGGTTCAAGAAATGATTCGACCAGTTCTTAACGCTTTCTTCAAAGTAAGTATGCACAAGTTCACTAAAGCTTATTGGCAGATTTTTTTTTTAGTATGGGGTGAAAATGGGAGAGGTAAAAGGAAGGTAGGGGCGGGGATACAAGCATGGGTTCGGGTTTGGACGAACAAAGTAGCTTTGACTTAAACACTGTGTTTGTCTTAGGAAATTTATCTGATATGCATAATTATTAATTTACAACCTACTGACTTGGAATAGTTAGACTTTCGAACACATAAACTTCAAATTCTGGCTCTGCTTTTGGCTAGGAAGGGTATGGTATAACATTTGTTTGGTTCAATATTAAAGGCGAATAGTGTGCAACCTTTCCGCATTTACTTTTCAATCACTTCAAAGTTGGACATAGAGGAGAAAGTCTTTCTTTACCATATAACATTTAAGTGGCGGATAAATCCTTTAAAATAAAGTTAGTGCTATTTAGCCGTTGTTTGAATTTGAATCACATTTAAACCATTAATATTTGTGTTAAGATATGAATACTAAATAGATAAGATCGTTTGTTTTCTCATCACATGAACATAGAAAAATGTGTTGTTTATTTAAAACTTAATAAATATGAGATTCAAATTAAAAACTTTTTACTCTAATACTATACCAAAAATATATTAGAAAGAATAAGTTTACATGGTGGTCGGTGGTGGTGATGGCTACCAACGGTGGTTACCGACTGGCAATGGTGGTGGGTGTGGATAGTAGCTAGTTGTGATGGCAACTTACAATAGTGGTTAATAGTCGTGGTGATGGCTAATTGATAGATGATAGTGATAATTAGCTAATAATGGCAGCAGGTGATAATGGTGGTGGTTGCCGATATATGGTTGTGGCTGATGGTGGTGACTGGTGGTGATGATTGTAAATGTGGCTAGTGGGGTGATGGTTGAATAGGGTGATTAGAGGTGGTGGTGGTTGTGACTGGGAATGGTGGTTATGCAATTATTATGGTCTGTGGCGGTGGTGGTGGCATTGTTTGCCGTGAAAGGGTAGCAGTGAAAATCTATCTTTCTGGAAATTATTGAATTGGTAGCATTTTAATGATATTAAATATTTGTTATAGGTTTTATTCATTCGGATCTATTCCGACCTATTAAGTGACGGTAAAAGAAAAACAAACGCACTTAATGCATGTTACTTTTTTATCCTTTGATGATATCTTGTTTCTTGGCTCATTAGGGAGATACAGAGGTGTTAAAGAAATATTGCAGCAAAGAGGAAATTGAGCGGTGTAAAGCAGAGCATCAAGCTTTTGATAGCCAGGGTATCATTTTCGACAACAAGGTAAGAATAAACACAAGTTATTATGTTAGCTTGTATTTTGGATATTGTATAAGTACAGTGAAGGGAAAGGGGATTACCAATAAGTGAAGTATACATAATTTTTGTGTTATAAATCTATTCCCAGTGTCAAAAATAAATGAAGTGTACAAACTTTTTGTGATACAAATCTATTTTCAGTGATTTCTATTAGCATGCTAGACAAGGACAAAAGCTTGTAAAAGTTGAATAGAACTAAAGTTGATTTGGGGTTTAGTAACAGTTGAGCCGTTTTTTCTTTCCGAGGGTCTATTGGAACAACTTCTGCATCCTCACAAGGAAGGGGTAAGGTCTGCGTACACATTACCCTCCCCAGACCCCATGGTGTGGGATAAGACTGGGTATGTTGTTAACTTGTTATTGTTGTTCCGGCCGTGGATGTTTGAAATTGTCTGACTTATGTCATGTAGCCTGGTCTAAAACCATGTAGGGGGGCATTTTTTCTTTTGCTTTTAAATACACTAGTAAATTCAGTCAAAGCAAATATGTAAAAACTGGCACATTAATTCACCAAAAAAACAAAGGAAAAGGAGGAAAACTAAAGGCCTTGAATTAGAGAGGAGCTAAGAAGTGTTAATTTCCAAATGAAAATAAGTTTCTGGTGGTTTTAAAAACACTAAAATGTGAAAAATTCACCCAAAGCAAATGAAGGACTAGAAGCAGATAGAAAAAATTGTGAACAAGTAACAATGAGAAGTTCAATAGAATTCTTGTTTGTGACAACAATGAGACACAGAGAAAATGTGGTCAAGATTTGAGATAGTATCACTCACTTCCACGAATAAAAACATCTTCTTGTCATAGCCACTGCCCCTACCACAAAAATAAAAATTCACCAAAAATTATCTAAAAACATTCAACTAAGATCAACCAAAGTCACAGATAGAAAAGGTTGTGAAGCCCCGGAACAGTATCACTCACTCCCATAAGTAAAAACGTCTTCTTGTCGTAGCCACTGCCCCTACCACAAAGATCAATAACATAAAATTCGCTACAAAATTGTCTAAAAGGTTTTCCAACTAAGATCAATAAAGGTAAGTAAATTGAAAGCCAGAAGTGATTTAACCATAACGATAAGAAACACAAAATTCATCAAATCAAGAAAATAGTAAAGGATAAAAAGAAAAGTGATTATCAGTTGTGAAGTTCCTCGCCATTTGCTTTTGTTTTCTTGCAAATTTGGCATTTGAGACTGAATAAATTAATTAAAGAAATTTAGCAGCATTGAGCCGGGGGTCTATCGGAAACAACTTCTCTACCTTCTTAAGATAAGGGTAAGGTCTGCGTACACTTTACGTACACTCTACCCTCCCCAGACCCCAAATGGGAATGCTTGATTGTGAAAGTTGCCACATCAGATTTTAATTTTTTCAGCTTTATATGTGTATATGGATTTTTGGGGGTTGTAGGGTGTCATTATTGCAGCTTTAGTTCTCGCAACATAGTGCTTTTTACTGTTGCTGATTGGCCTTGATATGTTAAGCACCTATGTTGCACGGACTCTCCAAAATGTTGCGGCACATGTGTCGGATCCTCCAAAAATGCACTACTTTTGGAGAATCTCATACGTACCTGGAGACATTTTCGGAGAGTCCGAGCAACATAGTTAAGCACTGGACACTGCCTATTACAGTCGGTGGGCTTGATTTGAAGTCCTCCCTGATTTTCCACTTAGCTCAAACTAAAAATTCTGCATGAATTGTGACCACCTCTCATTTGGTATGCTACTTACATAAAGGGGTTGAATGGCTTCTCTCTAGCATCAAATTTCCCTGTTACGCTACTAGAAAATCTGATAACCCTACTGAAAATGAAACAGATTTTACATGTTTCGGATATTGAAGTGCGGGAGAAAAAAATGATGGGAGACAGTCCCTTAATAATTTTGGGGGTAAGAGTCTTTCTTCAATATTTTCTATATTGAAATCAATCCACCTCTTGAAAGAACAAAAGGCTCAAAAGATTTAGCCCCTGGTAGTAATCTTTCTTGGGTAATGTCCACAGTTCAAGACGCAGAAGGTTTACTGCATACGTGATAAACTTGGTTCAATTAAAGAAGGGGGAAAGGTATGTATTATATCCCTTTTATTGGTTGCTGTTATTCTCTTGGTCCTGCATTGACTAATTCAATTCATTGATCCTGCTGGGCAACGAAGGGGAGCCTTGGCATATCTGGTAAAGTTGTTGTCATGTGACCAGGTGGTCACGGGTTCAAGCCGTGGAAACAGCCTCTTGCAGAAATGCAGGGTAAGACTGTGTACAATAGACCCTTGGTGGTCCGGCCCTTTCCCGGACCCCGCACATAGCAGGAGCTTAGTGCACCGCACTGTCCTTTTGATCTTGCTCGACAATATGGTACTATGTATCATATACAAACGTCATGATATCAAATTGCTTTCTTGCATCCCTGTGGTCAAATCGTCATTTTTCTACGTGTGGTTTTCATACGCAAAAGTGGGTTACTAGACATAAACTAAAGATGTTAAGCGTTAACAAGTAGCAATTATTCTTAAGCATTTTTGCATTCCAATCTGCTGTAGAATGATCTCAACCTGCAGTAACATCATTGTAGCTAAGACTTCCGTCCAGATTTGAATGTTAACCCTGGTATGGCTAAATTTCTTGCTGTATTAGGATACAATACACACTGTACACTATGCTTGGGCTATGCAACTAGGGGAAGACCGTGTATGGAGGCTTAGAGAGATGCAGCAATTTGGTGTTGCAGCCCTTATCTGATCAAAACTTTTGTTTCATCAAAGGACCGGATAATGTTGCTCCCCACGCCAATGTTCATGTTCTGGCACTGATTTGTACAGAATTTCTTATTGCAATAAATATAGAAGCATATACATTACAATTATTATACCTTTTTGTAATTAAACATTTTTAAATTAAACTTGCAATATACTAGAATTATTTCATAAATATTTAAGTGTTATAAATATATTATATTATGGATGTTCATTTAGTACTCCGTTGTAAATAAGCTTCCTGAAGAAGCTTATCCATATGGGACTCCACAGTAAATATGTTTATCTATTTAGTACTATATTGGAAATAAGCTTCCTGAAGAAGTTTATCACTTCGGTACCCGGTTATGGATAAACATTACCCCAGTAGAAGTTTATCCATACCGGATATAATAAGCTTATCTTTCAGTACTCAGTTATGGATAAACATTACTCCCGGTAGAAGATTATCCATACCGGGTATAATAAGCTTATCACTTCAGTACCCAGATATGGATAAACATTACCCCCGGTAGAAGAAGATTATCCATACCAGGTATAATAAGTTTATCTTTTCAGTACCCGGTTATGGATAAACATTACCCCCGGTAGAAGATTATCCATACCGGATATAATAAGCTTATCCATTCAGTAATCCGTTATGGATAAATATTGCTCTCAGTAGAAGATTATCTATATCTGGTACAGCAGCAGCTTACACAGCAGCTTGTAGTAGCAGCTTACACAGCAGCTTATAGTAGCTTACACAACAGCTTGTAGTAGCAGCTTACACAGCAGCTTGTAGTAGCAGCTTACAGAGCAGCTTCCTTTCTTCTATAAATAGAAGAGATTTCAGTTCATTATGTACATCAGTTTGAATTCGAATAATATATCAGTTTCTCTCTATACTTGTCTTTACTTTACAGTCTTTATTTTATAACACGTTATCAGCACGAGACTCTGCAATCTCGAGCAAATATTTTGAAAGTATCTGAGGTAAGAACTTTCTTTTCCTAAATAATGACAAATCTTTCTAAACTTGAATTTATAGCCCTGGATATATCGGGCAAAAGCTACATGTCTTGGGTGCTTGATGCTGAAATTCATCTTCATACGATGGGTCTGGCAGACACCATCAAAGACAAAAATCAGGCATCGAACCAAGACCGTGCCAAAGCAATGATATTCATACGCCATCACCTTGATGAGGGCATGAAAATGGAATATCTTACTATTAAAGATCCAGTCATACCGTGGAATAATTTGAAAGATAGATATGACCACCTGAAGATGGCCGTTCTTCCACATGCACGATATGATTGGACTTATCTAAGGCTACAGGATTTTAAATCTATCAGTGAGTATAAT